AAAATGGGGATTTAATGATTTTGTTTTCTGATAGGTAAGTTGGTTTATATCATTTCATTGGGTTTATAACCATATTTACAGGCTAACTTGATTTATAAATAGGTTTTCAATGGTTTTTCTACAGTCTAACTTGGGTTCATGGCAGATACATACATATATATATACATATGTATATGTATATGTATATGTATATGTATATGTATATGTATATGTATATGTATATGTATATGTATGTATATATATATATGTATATTATATGTATATGTATATATATATACATATATATATATCTGTTTTCCGTATGTTACCGTTGGATTCAAGTGCCGTGCCCCACCTTGAAGAGCTTTGTGCCATGGGGAATGACCATCAAGCAAATTTCATGAGGGATTTTGCATCCACATCATACACAATGTAAGGATCCCCATGTTTTCTGGTAAACCAAGAGTTCGCGAACTGGAAACAATTCCATTTTCTAGCTGGGTAAATCAACATAAATCAACTATTTCGACTGAGCCATTTTCAATAGCTATTTTGACACAACCAGAGGGTAATTATGAGATGGATGACCAGAAATCAGCTACCATGTCGATTGACCATGGAACATTTGGATACCCTCAACTACTTAGGGTCTAGAATAGGTGACCCTACAGGGGTGACTTTCCAAAGGTCTAAAGGCATCAGTCCCCCCATTGTAGACCTTTTGGCCTACCAGCATTGTAGACCTTTTGGAGTCTCGTCTTGAGCAGCTTTGGTGCATGTGATGCACTTCTCTGGGACCATGATTCCAGAAATCATGTTTTTTTGAAATTCATCTGTGGCAGCCTTGTTGAGAGCAAGATAAAAAATTGATGGGGCAAAAAAATGCAAAAAAACCTTGCTTCAAAAAACTTTTTTGTTTTGGAGCCTCTGTGAATCACTGTTGAAACAGCGATCAAGATTCAGCGTGCAAAAAATGCTGGGATGTGGGAGCTGCTGTGATGTCATGGTTGATTCTGGAGAAAACCACAATAGACCTTGAAATCTGTACCAGGCCAAAGGTCTACATATCTTTACGTACTGACTGCAGGCAATTGTATATAGACCCAGCGTGTAGGGTCTACAATGCAACCCCCAAGGCCCCTAGCTAGTACCTGAGGGTATACATTTGGGGCTGTGAACTGCTATGAATTCTTTTGACATTGCTTTGACCCATACCTACCTCTCACCTGGGTTGATGCTGCCAGATCAGCCTTGCTTTTGGACAAGTAGACAATGAGCAGTGTTCGAAACCCGTGCTGGATTCTTAATTCGGTTGTTATACTTTATATAACCAATATATTGGGGATTTTTATCATGAAGAATGAACTGCAAAATGGCCATGAGATGCGAAGGTAACCACTGGTGAAGCGGGCAAAACCCGATGTTCATCGCTTAGAAATGGTCTTCCTGGGGTTGTTTTGCAACATTCCCACCTTTGATGATTGAATCAGTACTTTTTGTTGGTTGATGATCCGTTGCTGAACTCCCATGTATCATAAGCGTTGCCATCCATCCATGGAATCCATGCCCCAAAAAACACACCATCTCCAGTGCAGGAAGTCCCATTTGCCCACGTCCCCGGACATCAACAGGACGGCGAGGGAATCATCCAGAGGAATTTTGCACCATTTTTCGGAGAGCTAGTTCCGAGAGTTCCGAGAGCAGCCCATGTAAGATTGAGAATATCCCAGTTGCGGAGAGTTGGCTACGGCTGGTGGCGAACTACCCACGAATCGTAAGTAGGTTATAAGCCTGAATTTCAATGGGCATTGTGTAGGGGCCAGGTTCACTTATATCTGAAGTGTTCGTGGGATGGACCACCACGTAGTTTTTCGTGTCCACCAGATTTTGGATGCAGAAAAACCTTGGGTGGGTTGGTTAAAAAGTTAAAATCCTATGAAATCTCTAGTGTTGATGAAGTTAAGTTAAAGCCCATTAAATCCCATTAAACTCCATGGTAAAATCTGATCAGCCAATCGAAATTTTCCAGCACGGTCCGGATCTCTGGGAAGGTCCGGCTTCAGATGTTTCCTGGATGGAGCTGTCTCGGTATCCAACTGGGCAGGGAAACACCCATTATATATATATATGTATAATATGATATATATATACAATATATTTGGTGTATATATATATAACATGTATATAATACATTTAAGAACCCCAAAAGATAGAAAAGTAATTCATCGCTTTTTTTTTGGCATGTTTTTTTTTAATCCAGATAATTGAGATCATTGCTTATTTATTGATTCTAGCCTAATATCTGTAACAATCAGTAAAACGTTTTATTCATGGGACCCCTCTAAAAAAACATCCCCCAAAGATGGTTTCTTTTGGAATAGGCTCTTTGGGCGCTTTGTGATTTGTTTGCCATGTTTTCTTCACAGTGCTTGACCATCTTGCTCATTGCAGCCATTTTACACACTTGACAATTGACAATTTGCAGAACTGATTGTACATGTTGCCCACTATTTTAGAGTAACCCCCCAATTTGCACAGAACACAACTTCATTTTGCAGAATAGGAAATGGTTCTTGCCATGCTTGGGCCATGTGAAACTTCAAGGCCAGATTTTTTGCCAGGTTTGTGACGCCATCCTCTCCAACAAGAGCACCGGCGCGGGCGCTTGGGCTTTGGACATGACAACGTGGTGAAGCTGCTGCTCAGGATTGGAATTCTCAGTGACATGCTTCACTGACTTCAAGAAAACGATTGAGGCCGTGGTCCGGCAGATGACAAAACGACGGCGCAATCATGATCTGGAGCAAGATCTTCTCTTAATGCCATCTCGGCAGATGCAGTACCACCGCAAAAGACCACCTGCGCACCTGGATCCCAGATCTGCACCAAAATATCCGCAACTACCCCACGGACGGTTCCTCCTGCCCCTGCGGACACGAGGGCGGTGCCGCCGCCGCACGCGAGGGCTCGAGGCCACATACAGCTTCGGGAGGTACCTTCTAAATACGTTCCATCTGAGCAGCCCAAACCCAATTGCACATGGCTCCCCGTCCCTAAAATACTTTCTTTGATATACCATCGTATTCCATAACCCAGACCCAATAATCGCCACGAAATGGAATAGGTAAATCAGGCACGGCCACCAAATAGAAAATGCTCGGAGAACCCCCCCGACCGGCCAGCTTTGAACGACCTGGAACGCGCCAACGCGGAGCTGGGAGCCCTCCTGCCTCAGCTGCGACAGGCCGGCAAAGATTTGGCATAGTAAGGCATAGTCCACGGTTATTTAAAGGCATAACATGGCATAATAAGGGGAGCGGTAACGGGATAGTTAAGGGGATAGTAAGAATAACGGGGCGACAATAAAATACATAATTAGGCAGAAGGCGATAAATACCAGTAGTACCGCACAAGGCGGTGGCGGAAGTTTCAAAAATAGGAAACCTATAGGAGAGGTTGGTTGTTGTGAATCACGGATGGCAGAGCGAAGCCACTGATGGACTGAAAGGTGCTTGAGGTCTCCTCTTTTTTTTTTCTCTCTCTCTCTCTCTCTCTTTTTCTCTCTGTTTCTCTATCTTTCTCTGATTACCTGCCTACCTACCTACCTACCTACCTACCTACTGATCTATCTGTCTACCTATCTATCTGTCTGTCTATCTATATCTATCTCCCTATCTATCTACCTACCTATCTATCTAGCTGTCTAGTTTTCTAGCTTTTTGTCTATCTATCTATCTATTTATCTATCTATCTATCTATCGATCTATCGATCGATCGATCGATCGATCTATCTATCTATCCATCTATCCATCTATCCATCTATCCATCTATCCATCTATCCATCTATCCATCTATCCATCTATCCATCTATCGATCTATCTATCGATCCATCTATCGATCCATCTATCCATCGATCCATCGATCCATCGATCCATCTATCCATCTATCGATCTATCTATCGATCGATCTTTCTATCTATCTATCTATCTATCTGTCTACCTGTCTATCTGTGGTGCGGTGTCATTCAGTGTAATGTAGTGTGGTGTAGTGTAATTTAGTGTAGTGGAGTGTACCGGAGTGTAGTGTAGTGTAATGTAGTGTACTGGAGTGTAGTGTAATGTCCTGTAGTGTAATGTAGTGGAGTGTAGTGTAGTGTAGTGAAGGGAAGCGACATCTGAACCTCCAAAAGTGGTCCGAACCCCTATAGTGTTTGAAACATTTTGACTTCGAAATGTGCTTCGCGCCACAACGGCGTGCACTTTTTCGACATCTCACCTTCCAAAAGTGGTCCGACCATGGTGTGTTTTGTACATTTTGACTTCGAAATGTGCTTCGCGCCACAACGGCGTGCACTTTTTCGACATCTCACCTTCCAAAAGTGGTCCGACCATGGTGTGTTTTGTACATTTTGACTTCGAAATGTGCTTTGCGCCACAACGGCGTGCACTTTTTCGACATCTCAACTGACAAAAGTGGTCCGGAGCTGGTGTGTTTTGTACATTTTGACTTCGAAATGTGCTTCGCGCCACAACGGCGTGCACTTTTTCGACATATCAACTAGTAAAAGTGGTCCGAAGCTGTTGTGTTTTGTACATTTTGACTTGGAAATGTGCTTGCGTGCAATTTTTCATCTCTCATCTGGCCAGCTGGCTCCGCACCTGCCGCTTTAGCGAGCCTACTTTTCGACCCTCCGGAGCCCCGCATCATTGGAAAAACACAGTGTTTCACGACTTTCCTACCTTTTCATGCATCTGCATCTTCTTTCTTCTTACTCTTCTTTCTTCTAATCTTTCTCTTCTCTCTGCCTCTTCCCTGCTCTGCTTTTCATCTGTCCATATTGTCGGAAGTTTGACTTCTAAACTTCCTTCGATAAGGAAATAGTTTGGGGATGTTTGGGGGATAGGAACGGATAAGGAAGAGCTAGTTAATGGATAGGTAATGGGATAGTCCAAGGGGATCCATGGAGTTAAGGATTTGCAAAAGGGAAACTTTTCGTGGACAGCTCAAACAAATGGAATGCAATGCAGGTGATCTCTGACGAGAAACGATATAGGGTCAACTCGGCAGTCGGCCTTTTTTCGCAGGCTATCTATATGAAAAAGGATAAAACCATAAGAACCAGTACCGCACCAGTCGTAACATCTCACATCTTGGAATTTATCCTCCGAAGGGGTTCCAATATAGTCAGCATGTTTCCCTTATCATTTGCCTTCGGCGCGATTATGCCACCCAGGCGTGCCAAGGTCTGAGCGTGGTTCGTGAAGCGCAGGCCCAAGAGGTCTGTGCTTCAGAGCTGGTCCCCGGCCACCTCCCAAACGAGGAGGTGGAAGCTCGTCACGGGCGACTATACGGACACGCCAAGAAAGTCGTGCACCGAGCCCGACCCGCGAGGCACCGGGCAGGGGGCAAGGACGCCGTACCAGACGACGCCTTGCATCCCCTGGCCCGCCCGCGCCAGGCACCAGCAGCTGCTAAATGGGACTGGGTGGGCACGAAAGGGCGTGTGCGGGCCCAAGGCCCATGCTGGCGGCCATCTTGCCCAAGTCCCGACAGCTGTAACGCAGGTGCAGAGTGTCCGGTGCATCTGCGACTGCAAGAAGTTCACGGCCAGGACACGGAGCCGTACCTGCGAGCCATGCTCGCTGGGGGGCCGTTCCACCCCTTTAGCAGGCACGCAAACCTCAACGAGGTTTCGAAACGCTTCGGGAGAGATGTTCTGGCGGACTACCCCTTGCCGGTAGCCCCGGACCATGTGCGGAAAGCCAAGCACACCTGCCGCCGGCCCGATTGCCCCTACCGCGCGTGCAGGGGCGGCGAATGCGAGCGCCGTGTGCAGGTTCTCAGGGGGGCCGAAATCCCTGAACTCCAAGAGGAGTATCAGGGTGAGGTCCCGCCGCACATCTTGTGGGGCGAAGAAGAAGCGGCACCAGGGCCACCGATCCGCCCTCCACTGGAGGAGCGGATCGCTGAAGCGTTTGATGGCCTGAACATGGATCAGGAGGGCTGACCGGCAGATGCTGTGCCACTGAAAAAGACCACCTGCGCACCTGGATCTTTCTGTACATACATTGCAATGGAAAAACCCTTGCCTTGCATCCTACCCCATGATATCCTCATTAGTCTATCTCGGTTTTTAATTCCGCTATATCGCAAACAATTGTTCACGACTTTAACATTGCCTTGAGTGTTGCTACCCACCTCACCACTTGTCAGGGGCACTTCATGAAGACAGTGCCTCAGGAAGAACGCTTGGACCCGAAGAAGTGCTGGAACGCCTGGAACAGACGAATCTTATCCTGTCTTACTGCAACTCTGCTTTGGTTTCTGCATGAGAAACAATTACCGGAAGTTTGAAGTGGATACCATCACATTTGATAGGGGCATCAGCAAAGTTCAACAAATTACAATCATCTGAGAATCAGCAACCATCTACCAGTAGTACCGCACAAAGCGGTGGCGGAAGTTTGAGAGGTTGGTTGTTGTGAATCACGGATGGCAGAGCGAAACCACTGATGGACTGAAAGGTGCTTGAGGTCTCCTCTTTTTTTTTTCTCTCTCTCTCTCTCTTTTTCTCTCTGTTTCTCTATCTTTCTCTGATTATCTACCTACCTACCTACCTACTGATCTATCTGTCTACCTATCTATCTGTCTGTCTATCTATCTATCTCCCTATCTATCTACCTACCTATCTATCTAGCTGTCTAGTTTTCTAGCTTTTTGTCTATCTATCTATCTATCTATCTATCTACCTCTCTCTCTCTCTCTATCTATCTATCTATCCATCTATCCATCTATCCATCTATCCATCTATCCATCTAATTATCCATCTATCCATCTAATTATCCATCTATCCATCTATTCTTTTTCCCATCTATCCATCTATCCATCTATCCATCTATCCATCTATCGATCTATCTATCGATCCATCTATCCATCTATCCATCTATCCATCGATCTATCTACCGAGCGATCGATCGATCGATCTATCTATCTACCTACCTATCTATCTATCTATCTCTATCTATCTATCTATCTATCCATCCATCTATCCATCTATCTATCTGTCTGTCTGTCTACCTGTCTATCTGTGGTGCAGTGTCATTCAGTGTAATGTAGCGTGGTGTAGTGTAATTTTGTGTAGTGGAGTGTACCGGAGTGTAGTGTAGTGTAATGTAGTGTACTGGAGTGTAGTGTAATGTCCTGTAGTGTAATGTAGTGGAATGTAGTGTAGTGTAGTGAAGCGAAGCGACATCTGAACCTCCAAAAGTGGTCCGAACCCCTATAGTGTTTGAAACATTTTGACTTCGAAATGTGCTTCGCGCCACAACGGCGTGCACTTTTTCGACATCTCACCTTCCAAAAGTGGTCCGACCATGGTGTGTTTTGTACATTTTGACTTCGAAATGTGCTTCGCGCCACAACGGCGTGCACTTTTTCGACATCTCACCTTCCAAAAGTGGTCCGACCATGGTGTGTTTTGTACATTTTGACTTCGAAATGTGCTTTGCGCCACAACGGCGTGCACTTTTTCGACATCTCAACTGACAAAAGTGGTCCGGAGCTGGTGTGTTTTGTACATTTTGACTTCGAAATGTGCTTCGCGCCACAACGGCGTGCACTTTTTCGACATATCAACTAGTAAAAGTGGTCCGAAGCTGTTGTGTTTTGTACATTTTGACTTGGAAATGTGCTTGCGTGCAATTTTTCATCTCTCATCTGGCCAGCTGGCTCCGCACCTGCCGCTTTAGCGAGCCTACTTTTCGACCCTCCGGAGCCCCGCATCATTGGAAAAACACAGTGTTTCACGACTTTCCTACCTTTTCATGCATCTGCATCTTCTTTCTTCTTACTCTTCTTTCTTCTAATCTTTCTCTTCTCTCTGCCTCTTCCCTGCTCTGCTTTTCATCTGTCCATATTGTCGGAAGTTTGACTTCTAAACTTCCTTCGATAAGGAAATAGTTTGGGGATGTTTGGGGGATAGGAACGGATAAGGAAGAGCTAGTTAATGGATAGGTAATGGGATAGTCCAAGGGGATCCATGGAGTTAAGGATTTGCAAAAGGGAAACTTTTCGTGGACAGCTCAAACAAATGGAATGCAATGCAGGTGATCTCTGACGAGAAACGATATAGGGTCAACTCGGCAGTCGGCCTTTTTTCGCAGGCTATCTATATGAAAAAGGATAAAACCATAAGAACCAGTACCGCACCAGTCGTAACATCTCACATCTTGGAATTTATCCTCCGAAGGGGTTCCAATATAGTCAGCATGTTTCCCTTATCATTTGCCTTCGGCGCGATTATGCCGCCCAGGCGTGCCAAGGTCTGAGCGTGGTTCGTGAAGCGCAGGCCCAAGAGGTCTGTGCTTCAGAGCTGGTCCCCGGCCACCTCCCAAACGAGGAGGTGGAAGCTCGTCACGGGCGACTATACGGACACGCCAAGAAAGTCGTGCACCGAGCCTGAACCGCGAGGCACCGGGCAGGGGGCAAGGACGCCGCGCCAGACGACGCCTTGCATCCCCTGGCCCGCCCGCGCCAGGCACCAGCAGCTGCTAAATGGGACTGGGTGGGCACGAAAGGGCGTGTGCGGGCCCAAGGCCCTTGCTGGCGGCCATCTTGCCCAAGTCCCGACAGCTGTAACGCAGGTGCAGAGTGTCCGGTGCATCTGCGACTGCAAGAAGTTCACGGCCAGGACACGGAGCCGTACCTGCGAGCCATGCTCGCTGGGGGGCCGTTCCACCCCTGTAGCAGGCACGCGAACCGCAACGAGGTTTCGAAACGCTTCGGGAGAGATGTTCCGGCGGACTATACCCCTTGCCGGTAGCCCCGGACCATGACCATGTGCGGAAAGCCAAGCACACCTGCCGCCGCGCCGTGTGCAGGTTCTCAGGGGGGCCGAAATCCCTGAACTCCAAGAGGAGTATCAGGGTAAGAAGCGGCACCAGGGCCACCGATCCGCCCTCCACTGGAGGAGCGGATCGCTGAAGCGTTTGATGGCCTGAACATGGATCAGGAGGGCTGACCGGCAGATGCTGTGCCACTGAAAAAGACCACCTGCGCACCTGGATCTTTCTGTACATACATTGCAATGGAAAAACCCTTGCCTTGCATCCTACCCCATGATATCCTCATTAGTCTATCTCGGTTTTTAATTCCGCTATATCGCAAACAATTGTTCACGACTTTAACATTGCCTTGAGTGTTGCTACCCACCTCACCACTTGTCAGGGGCACTTCATGAAGACAGTGCCTGAGGAAGAACGCTTGGACCCGAAGAAGTGCTGGAACGCCTGGAACAGACGAATCTTATCCTGTCTTACTGTAACTCTGCTTTGGTTTCTGCATGAGAAACAATTACCGGAAGTTTGAAGTGGATACCATCACATTTGATAGGGGCATCAGCAAAGTTCAACAAATGACAATCATCTGAGAATCAGCAACCATCTACCAGTAGTACCGTACAAGGCGGTGGCGGAAGTTTGAGAGGTTGGTTGTTGTGAATCACGGATGGCAGAGCGAAGCCACTGATGGATTGAAAGGTAATTGATCTCTCTGACTCTTTCTCTATTTTTTCTCTTTCTCTGATTATCTACCTACCTACATACCTACCTACCTACCTAGCTATCTGTCTGTCTGTCTATCTATCTAATCTTATCTAATCTAACCTTATCTAATCTAACCTTATCTAATCTAAACTAATCTAATCTAATATAATCTAATGTATACCTATCTACCTATCTACCTATCTGTCTATCTGTCTATCTGTCTATCTGTCTATCTGTCTATCTGTCTATCTATCTATCTATGTCTATCTATGTCTATCTATGTCTATCTATGTCTATCTATGTCTATCTATGTTTATCTATGTCTAACTATGTCTATCTATGTCTATCTATGTCTATCTATGTCTTTCTATGTCTATCTATGTCTATCTATGTCTATCTATGTCTATCTATTTATCCATCTATCCATCTATCCATCTATCCACCTATCTTTCTACCTATCTATCTACCTATCTATCTATCTATCCATCTATCTATCTATCCTATTCTATTCTATTCGGCCCTATCCTATGCTATTCTATTCTATTCTACTCTACTCTATTCTTATCTTATCTAATCTATCTAATCTATCTATCTATCTAATCTAATCTAA